TAGATTTATATTTTGTAATTCATATCATTTTGAGGCCAATTTAAATGATCAAGCAAATTTGCCCCTTACTGTAATAATGTAATGAGTGATAATGGCAACAACAAAAAAAGAAAATACATTTTTTGTCAATGACATACTTTTATAAATTGCAATGTTTCCACTGCACTTATTTTAGTACCAACTTTTCTGTTTTGGGGGTTTGTGACCCATTTCTGTTGTGCATATTTGAGACAGAACTGCCTTTTTAACAAATTCAAGTGCTTTTTTCTTTTTTTACTTCCATTGGCGATATCATCTTTTATCTAAACACAAAAAAGTTGTAACACGGTATGTTTAATGTAGCAAATTGTGCAATGGAACATCCACACTTTTCCATAAGAATACTTTATATTAAAGCCCCAAGTGATAAATCGGCAGGGCCGATATTTTAGGTCGATATAGGCGTTTGGGTACCTATCTGTATTGGTGATAATTGGCCCATTATGTACCGATATAAACACTTATAATTTTCACCTCTAACATGCTGACCACAAGTCATGTCCATACTTGCAAATGGCGTAATTGTACAATGTATCCAACAGAGGGTACATGCAGACTACTTTCAGGTCATGGCCATGCTGCACATTTGACTCACAGCTAAGCTGAAGCAAAGAGTAATACTTTGTTGCGTATTTTAATGAACAGAGCATGGCAAATGTATTGTAACTGAGCTGTAAAATAAAAAATAAAAAAAATCAACAAATTCTCTTCAATCCTCCAACTCACTTGTCATTAGCTATGTACCTCTCAATTTAGCAAGCTATCATTTAGCATTGGCATTTGCCTCATAAAACATTATCCAGAACAATAAATCTAATGTAGATGTAAAATATACCAGTGTTAGCAACATAAACTTTGTCGTCCTCAATGAAATGCATCGTTTGTCTGAAATCTTTACTTCTCCGAGAAAAAAAACCCAAAAAAACTCAGCTGCGGTCAATACTAGGGTATTTCATGATTACATAACTGACTGTTTAAACAATGAACAGGGAAGGGTGTTTCTTTGTTTAATTTATATTTTTATAACGCACTTGATAACTTTATAGTGAACAGTGGAGGATAGAAAATGTGAATGTGCGTTAGGAAGACCGTTTCAAGACTTCAAGTGTTAAAACAGGTTTAAGTAGCTGTTCTCTGGCTGGACGAAGCTCAAGATTTTTCAGCAAATATATAGATCACCGGCATTAGTCTGCTCCAGCCAATATCGGTATCGGCGATAGCCAAAATTTCCATATCGTTCGGGCTCTACTTTACTTTACTACTGTGTACACGAAAAGCCAATTTAGTTGCTGTAACTGAACTGCTACGTCAAACTGCACACAATCTGTTGGAGAGTTAAAACGTTTATTTTACTTGAGGGAAATCTTATAAAACGAAATTAGTTTTAGTTCATAAATCTAGATGATAAAGAACGGACCCATGTTGCATCTTTTAAATATTTTGTGTAAACCTTCACAAGTCTGACTTGTTGGGACTTCCTCTGAAAGTTGTATCGTTTTAAACCTTTGGGGCTCAACAGTCCTGAAAGAAGCCAAGCAGCATTCACAAACTTAAACATGCAAGTTTCTCAAAGAATCACAAAAATCTGGTCCATTAGTACTTAATCACAAAGAAAGGCTGCTTACTTTTTTGACAGTGGCTCTGTGTCCAGCAGCGTTCGCTGAAGTGTCCGTTGATGGTTGTTGCCTGGCAGGTGGTCTTTCCGATGGACGCCCCCGGGCAGACATCGCCACATTCTCTGTCGTTTTTGTTGGATATGATGTAGTTGTCCTCCACCGAGTCCAGGATCTTGGACCAGTCCAGGGTAGAGAGATAGCAGAGATCTGGGTTCTTCTCGATCCTCACAGCTCCTCTGGTGATGTTCATCAAGCTATGGAGGCCGATCTCTCGCAGCTGGAGCATCTCGAACACCACCAGAGCGTAGTTGAAGAACAAGTTACTGCCTCGGATGACTGTCAGGTTGGGGAAGAGACTGCTGAGGCTCTCCATGCCGTAAACTCTGAAGAGCAACAGATAGTCAGTGACCACTCTCAGCTTGGGGAAACTGATGCCTCGGAAATCCTCTGGTTTGGTCCTGAACATGAGTAAGATCTTCAGGTGGCCTTCGATCACAGTACAATTCTCAAGCGTTCGCAGGTTGGTCACATTGTTGCGAATGTCCTTGCTTGGACAAACTGAGAAAACAAGCAAAGACAAACAGACAGATTGTTTAAAACCTAATTTGGTTTTCATAACGCCCACAAAATAACATCATCAGTAAATTACAGTGGTAAAACAAGGCTAAGACACACTCGAATCCCCTAAATTAATTTATCTGATGCAACATATGTGGATTGCTAATGCTAAACATGACTGAAGCACGTCTGCTCTAAAAACAGGACGTACTTTCAACGAGGAAAAAACAAAATCAACCTTTAAATAATTAGAGATATTTTACTCAGTATGTGGCTGTGCCTCTTGTCTGTGAAGAGGGACAGACCAACTTCTCTGACATGTTGTTTAGCAGTCACACATCTGACCTGTGAGCTACAGTCAAATATGGAGTGCCGCGCTCATCCTTGGTTACACTGTTGTGGAGCTGCTTCTGCAACTCAAGACCATAAAAAAACATTAGCTAATGCATTAAAAATATGTGTCTGTGAGGGCAACTGTATCGCTAATGTTCACGCTTTGCAACGATACTAGATTTGTAGCTTCACAAGTCCTCATCCAGACACACAAATCTTGCTAGATGAGAATTCCTGAACAGTGTTGTTGCGCAGTTGGGTTGCATTTTTTCCTGTCTCGATCATTTCCAACTGTACTTTATCACAGTGACGCAATACGAGAGTTTGATCTAGTCCTGTGGCTGGCCAAGATAAATCTGACAACCACTTCTGCAACAAATCAACCACATTTTTCAGCGTACTATTTTTATTTAAGTTGATTTATTTAGCAAACAGAACAAAACTCTGAAATATTACATCTAAATTACATTTAAGGTTTGTGTCTCACTAGCATGCTGATGTCCTATAAGAAACCCTGGCAGTGGTTACACAAAGGCCACCTGTAGTATCCTCTAATCCAGCTGGAGGTGAGTGTGCATTATTAATTAGCAGCTGTTCTGTCTCATCTTTGATTCCTTATTCGATTAAAAGCCTAATATTCCATGACAGAATGCATATCACCCACCAACATGCACGCCAAAAGTTTAAACTAGGATTATAGCCGCTTTGATCAACCCTTAAAAATAATCTTGTATGCAGTCTCATGAACTACTGTACAATGTCATGCTGTTGTGAACAACTCTCTGCTAATAGCAAACGAAGTTTGAGCTCAAAATTGGTAAACTATACTAAATTATAGCCATTTTTGTGTTTTTAAGGAAGCTGTGGGAACTATCTTGAATTGTCAGCTATAGATGAATAGCTATAGATTAAATTATTTTCTGATGTGCTCAAACAAAGTAAGTGCTAAGGATCAGCCTCAGCTACTACCGCAACAAATTCTATGTCAATATTTGTAAAACTGACTGAGTTAGAGCAATCCAATTTTATTTTAAGACTGATTGCTTGCGGCAGCCATCTTGAGTTGGGTTGTTTCCAAAAGTTAAGCGGTAACAGATGCGCATCCCGTGATTAATTTCTGCAAATTAGCATTAAAAAAAGGGATGCATGATATTGGATATTTGGCCGATATCCGATTTGTTAAAAACTATTTAGCTGATAACCGATACAAATAACAATGTTTTTCCCTAGACCTACTTACAGAGACTACATAGCTTTCTCTGCTGTGGAATTAAAATACGGTAATACATTATTCCACATGGTCTTTGTTACTTTGGCCTGCGATGCCAAAACGGGCGTTGAAAGTGATGTAACACTTCAACTTGGATTATGTTTAATGTCAAATTTATTCATCACATTTACTCTCTCTAACTCTATGACGACACTGGAACAGTGCAAATTTGTAAATTTTCACAAATCTAAACTCAACCTGTTCACAAGCGACAAGTGAAAAGCATACAAGCAGTAGTGCGTAAATAGATATACTCGAGTTTCTTAAATTAAAAATCAACTTAAAACAGAAGCCTTTTACATTGGTGAGTTCGTTGTTTTTTTTTTAAAGAATGGCCAATGTCCGATATTTAACTTTATCGTTAATATCGGCCAATACCGATACCATGCCGATAATATCGTGCATCCCTATAAAAAAATACTTCTGGTGGTGTTGGTAACAGAAAGACACACAATGCACACACACAAACGTGGGCAAAAACCTTATTGCTCAAACTTCACCTTCAGCAGCAGGTGCCTGTACGTGCACATCTATGGGGTTTTAACATTGCATCTGTGATTTCTGCTCTTTTATGGGATACATCTCACTTTGAGCTTGCTGTTCAAGTGTAACTGCTTATGTGGGCACTCTACAAATTAATATATTTCATGTCTAAACGTATAATTTACTACGTTTTTTCCTCTTGAAGCAATAGTTGTCTCTTTAACCACTACCCGTCCCCGATACACACAAGTAGGTTAAATCAAAGCAGTTTCTGTTCCTACTCTGCAAAACAATGCTGCCATTCAACATTTTTTAACCTATTCCCTTCTTTAAGGATTATTTTCATAGGTCTGGTTGCCTGGGCGTCACAAGATCCAGCAACACTGTATTGCATTATTAGGTTTCACCTATTAGAACAATTGCAAAATTTCACAACGGCTGAGCGTTCATAGTTAGGAAAGCAATTTGGCTGGAATAGATTAAAGGATGGAAAACAGTTAACAATGTCGAAACAATTAATCAGAAACACTTATTATAGAGCAGAAAGGAGGTCAAGAGTGATGATGGTGTAGAGTGGGAGCAGGAGTTTATGTGGCTGAAGACAAAAATAGGAAAAAATGTTAAGTAGGGGCTGAAAAACGAGCATGGCCAACCGTTTTGTCGCAAAAGCACACAACGATGCAGGAACTGGCACCAAAACAGCCACTAAAATAGTCAAACTCAAAGTTTTGATGATCTCAGTAAAAATAGATGTCAACTTTATTTAATAATAATAAATATTAGGGATAATTTCTGACTATATTTACATCTGTTAAGTTCCTGGCAAAAACCAATGCAGACATGTTTCTGTTTTAGTTTTCTACACTGCCTTACAATCCAGCTGTTTTTTGGCTAATTTTCCTTTTGATTGTCCTTTTGGTTGCCATATTATTTTAACTTTTAAAAATATAAAAAAATAAATTTGTATGCTTCTTTTATGATCGTCTATTGTTGTCGTTGTTGTCCACTGCTGTCATCACTCTTTGTTAAAATTTCAGGTCTCTCTTGTAAATGAGTCCCCGAGGCTCAATGGGATTAAACTGTATAAATAAAGGTTGAAAAATAAATAAATATTTTTGTCAGCACATTTTAATTTCATTTTTATGACCTGGTAGAAAGTCTATCAAAGGGCGTGTTGACAAGAGTCATAAAGAAAGTTCATTTTAACATTATGTTTACAGCATTACAATTTACTATTACATTCTTGTGTTTTGTATATAATAAATACAACTAAATTCATCAAATATTTTTCTAAACTAAAAGCTAGTTTTGTCATCTGTAGTCAATTATCAGTCGGGTTTTTTATGTGAGCGCAGAGGTTAGAGAAGACGGGCCTGTGATCGCAAAGTCGCAGGTTCAACTCCCGGTACCGTCAACATCAAAATGTGTGTGGAAAAGGTGAAACACCCACACCTGCCTCCACCCTCATTTGCCCCACTCTGGGCATCTGAGCAAGGCCCTGAACCACCACAATTAGCCCCCCCCCCCCCCCCCCCCC